ATACGTAAGCAATCTTTTAGTTTCTGTACAAGTGCCTGTTTATTGCTGATCCTGGGCATTTTGTAACTTTTATTGAAAAAAAAAAAAATGGGAAAGAATTGTACTTATCTTTTCCCAAAAAAAAGTTGGAAAGTTTTTTGGGAAAGTTGAAAAAGTGGGAAAGCGCTTTGATTGGCTAAAAAAAGTTTCCCAAAAAAGTTTCCCATTTTTTTTTTCAAACTGAGACCCCTTAATATACAGTTATATCAGACCCATCCCCTCATTTTACTTCCCATAACTGCCAGATAAAAAAAAGAACTTAACATTTTTCATCTCGCTAACATTCTCAGCCATGGCTTTACCGTCATCGTCGTTTTTTTTAAAGCCTCCTCGTAATCCAAAAGGCACAAATCATTATTGCCTTCTATATTTGCAGACTAGTGTCTTTCTGTTCTTATTCTATAGCATACCTTAATCACGCTCAAATCTCCAACTTTTATACACAATCAACAACGGAAGCAATCCGGTATTGTTACTGATAATGCATGGGCCTATTAGATTATAAATAACATGATCCCAGCAGTTGCAGTCCTTGCCTTTCGACAGAAACAAATCTTGCAGCGAAACATCAAGGTTTGTTCTTATCTTATCCATCGCGAAACGGACAATTTTAAAGGCGAGACCTTAAATTGATACGCCCGACTTTCATCAAAAATATTAGAGCTGATACTTATTCTTTCTATTGTCAATCTTCTGTACCTATCTTCTCTCTAAAAATTAAAAGTTGCGTTATATTCTTTTACCACGTTTCCGAAGACAAATAATTTTAAATCGATCATACCTTTTTTTAATAGTACGCAAGCATCGGTTTGGTTGTCAATCACCTCCTCAAAGCAGATCGGCCTCCCAAATCTTTCCTCAATCCGGAATGGAAACTTTGGGCTCTGCCAAAAATTCTATTTCCCATATGAACAAGCTGGTTGGCATAAAACCGAGCCCATCGTTTCGTTTCGTCCTTCTTCATCAAACTAAAATAACAAATCTAAGTTTGATTCATAATTTAGGAGCATGTACAATTACAAATACTTACACATCAATCAAATATGACAACGCTATATGTCCATCTTCCTTAAATCATCCAACAGTTGTGATGATCTGCTGAAAGCGATCACTTGCTTTTTGAAAGGAAGTTAAATCCGAGCTATCCACAATAGCCGTAAATTCACTTTCTGCTTTAGCGATAAGCTAATTGTATTCTACCGAAGCGACCTTGCCAATAGCCGACTTTGTTGACATCGTATTTCAAAAATGACATGGACAAGGCAGATGCTGGTTTTTTAGAAATACCGTCTCAATTGCATTGTGGCAAGCTTGTTAGTTGTTAGTGACAATAACGGAGGGCAACCTGAAACTGGTTTCAGTTGGCCAAACAGCTTCCCTTAATTCTTCCAAAATCTATTGCTAAGTATCTTCAGTCACGCTTTTCACAAAATCAGCTGCTACAGCAAAGGTTTGTAAACTGTTTCCTTTTTTGAATGCGGAAGCGTTGCTGGTTCCAACAAGGTTCACGAGGGACATCTTGTGGGCAATTGTCTTGTAGGTGGCGCAAATTTTTATAGCTTCGGACCAGCGTCTAGCTTGAGAAATTGCTTTCCCGTGAATGAAAAATATTCCCTTTACTTCTTCGTTCTCTTTGACCTGGATACAAATAACGTACCTAAGATTTTCCAGCTCGGTGAAAACCGAATACTTCTCTTTTCGTCCATTGTCGTATAATTACAAAGATTGGATGTTCTGGATATTTTTTTTGATGATATTGTTTACATTGAAAGCGTTTAGGGTCTAATAACGTATAAGTAATGACCCCATGAGTTATTTTTTGTTATTAAAAAGAATACTTACATCCATAACACTGGCGACAGGCTCATTAAGTCCACTGGACAGAAGAGAATATATTCTGGCCTTAATTTCGGGTCTTTGCTTGCGATGAATGGCATATGTTGTAACGTCTTGTGAAATTGGATGATTGTGGATTATATTATTCTTGGTAACATTTAATCCAAACAAAGTAATCGAAGCAACGCAAAAAACGTTTTGGGTACTTTTTTGACAAACTGTTTTTGTTTCCGGCACTTCAAATCTACCGTGTAAATCGACCGTGCATCAAGATTTACCCTTTTTTTATCCCTGAATTACTTTATAATATAAATATAACTAAGATTAGCCAATCATATTTACATTTAGTACGTTTTCTTAACCTCCCTGCTTGCAAAATCATCTTTTATAGATTCTTGTACTTCCGAAGGAGGTACTAGTCCTTTTTTAAGCTTTGTATACCTTCTATCTATGTCGAGTAAAATTTAAAGGAAAATAAAAAGTTTGAATGAAGCCCCAGTTTTTACGGGATTCACCTGTAACTAAAAGTACGGCCTGTTCAGAACATGATACCCAATGATACTTAATATTATCTTAATCCCACGGGGTGAACCTGTACTCCCCGTATATGTTCAACTGTATACTTCTATATATGGCGACCAAATTTCAATGCTTTGGTATATATCTACAGGTTTTGATCTACATACTTTGGGAATTTTAGCAGGTCTTATTGATGCTTTCTTAAAGACATAGGCAATGTCTCATCTCAATAAAAAGATCAAAAATGTGATCGTGAACTCGACATATATGGAAATATTTTGTGTACCCATTTATACCACACAGCAAAGAAGAACAAGTATAGGAAATGTTTTTAACATTTCTAGAAAGTTAATATCTTCAATCGAAATACAACAAAAAAAAAGTTCTGCATTATGATTTTCAGAAATTCAGAAATAAACAATGCGTTCCACTTCTGTATAACATTTGTATCGGCGAGACTATGGATGTAGCATGTTGCCTAGTGCTCTTTCCTTGGGTTTGGTACTGAATTTATATTCAGTGTCAGGAGCGGGGCGAGCAAGAGCAGAACAGAATGATTATTAAGGTGAGGACAAGGCAAAGAGAAAATTATATATCTATTAGTATTAATATATATATAAAAAGGAACGAGGCTTTTTTAAACCAAACCTCCGTTTCGGTAAAAATTTTGACCTTCGCTGCGCTGCGGTAAATTTCTGACCTGCACTATGGTTCGGTACGCTGTGCTTTGAAAAAGCCTCGTGCTGCCGCAGGCCTGATTTTAAAATAAAGAACGTAACATATATTAATTAATCATAAAATCAATGCACCCTTATAGCTTAAGCTACACTGCCTATTATCAGTTTGACACTGGAGAAAAATTTGATGTTTCTTAATACATGTATAAATATTTGGAAAAAGACGACATCCCTAGACTCAGGCAAGAAAGTTGATCTACGCAAAAGTATTAATTGTTTATATATCTGATTAACTATTTTATGCGCAATGTTTTTGCTTCATAATGAAAGACTTCATAATCCAAAATATTAATTTCAAAGGCGACCCCTCCATCGACCTAAAACAAACAATTTTTCAGTTCTACTCGAATAATAACATATTGATTGTGAAAACGTGTTCATAGACTGTTTCTCTAACCTCGATTAAATAATGTTTAATGCTATTGGCTGCTATACTGGGGTGAAGGGTAACCTTTGACACAAAATCTCCATAGTTACTTTTTTTTAAATGACTTTTTCAGTAAAAGTCACTTTTATATTATGACTCTCTCCAAAATAGTCAATTTTTATATACGCTCTTTTTTTTAGTTTAATGCTCAATGTTATGGGTCGTATTCTTCGAAGGAGGGTTTTTCCAAGCCTCTAATTTTGTACCTCTGCTAAAAAATATTACGAAGTAAAAAAAAATAACGCTTTAAAAACATAGGGCTGTAACAGAATTCACGGTATTAAAAAAAATTATACTTTAAGATATTATGCTGTAGAAAAAAAAAGGAACATTGTTTTTCAGAAGGTAACAATTTCATGCTAATACTATGGGCCGTATTCCTGGGTAAAGGGGTCCCCCCGCATCCCCATTAAAAATCCTAACTTTTGTAACTTTTGTGACTGAAAATTAGCTCGCCTTGTGACTGCGTAGTTACGATACCAATAATTTTAATATAATAATGAAGGTAGAAAAAGGTTTATTCAGAAAAGCAGGAAAAATAGATAAGATCTTGAATACAGAAATAAGAATAAATAAACTTGCTGTTATTTATATTAATTGACAGATCAGGTAAAGAAGGGTTCGGGGATCAGATTTACAGAGACAGATTATTAGTCATATTGAGTTTGGGACATCTTTGGGGTAGCGGGCTTAGATACAGATAATTTTGGGGATAGATGCAGAGGATAACATGGGCTGATATTATTAGTGATTTAAAATGGAGTTCAAAGTCAGAGGTACAAAGGACACGGAAGTTAAATGGGTTTTACAAGGACAAGGGATAACGGAGATACCTTATTCGGAACCGAGACGATAGACAGGAAACAATATTGATGTTTGACAGTGACATGTGTGACAGGAGACAGAGAACAGGGAACAGGTGGAACAGAGACAACGGGCTAGTTGGGTTTCAATAATTGTCTGAGACATTTTGCATGATTATATGCAACTGAAACCTAGGCGGTGTATGACATTTAGCAGAAGAATGTTGTTTTTATTGATACAATCTGGTTAGTGATTGTTTTTGTTTTATTGCGAAGGAAAAGGTCACATTGTTTGGCACCGCTCTTTTTTGTCGTTTTCCTCCAATAAATGTCGTATAGAATGACCTTCAGTATGGTTGAATTATAATATCCGAACGGTACTCTCATACTAACAAATTATATATTGGGAAATTGTCACTTAATAATTAGGGTCAATCAACATACGAAAATATGGCTTGACTTCATACCATGTAATTCTAATTGCCATGCTTCAGAAGATAGAAACAAGCCATTGTTTATCCATCACCAGATTCAATCTGCCAGATGTCTGATATAAAAAGAGTCCTCCCTTTTTCAATGACTTTCTCTCTGTAACTTTAATAAAGTATTAATAGAGACTCGTTTCTTATTATTAATTTTTCATTCTGTTTTTCTATCTATTTTATACTTCTCAAACATCACTTTTTTTTCTATTGGTCTTCTTGACCTCAGATCTTCCTGTTTTATTGACTGCTTTGTGGTCCTTTTCTTAAATACGTAACTGCTTCTTGCATTGAAATGGCTACGACGTATACCAACAATATTGTTGAGAGCTTTGGATCTAAAGCAAAAGCATATAGAGAACCTGTATACCACCTGAGCTATACTATATATAGTAACTTCTCTTATATACCACCTGCCGGATTGTACCCGGACAATCGATGCCCGGTACGTGGTAGATAGCCCATTATACGTGTAGATATGGCTTAATAAAACGGCATTTTTTTAGGCTCATAAAGCTAATTATCACCCTTTTTTTTAAGGTGTAGAGCTGGATCAATAAATTATTATTTTTTGACTTACGGTAAACGTAAATAGCTAATAGGAACACAGTAATACTATATTATGCTTCACTTTACTTTACATTAAATTAATTTGGATGTCGTCTGTTAAAATGCTACAAATGAGGCCTTTCGTCGACAGTTAGCACAGATTAAACAGTACTTCAAATATAGGCTTTCAAAAACAGGTTTGCTTTAGATGTCGATAAAAGTGAATTAACATACTTAGTTTTTCGCTGTAAGCATGGAATTGCTCGTAAGACTACTATTGAAATCGTTGAGGAAAAAGAGAACAAACGATCAAGATGTAAGAATAAATATCCAATCCAATTAAGATTCAAGCATTGAAAGCTTTTACGGGTACAAGCAGTAGACCAATCTGATAAGGTTAACCGAGAACACTTGCACGGCCATTTCTTGTCTATGGAACGTATGAAAGAAAATACGTTACTAGACAGAGCATTGTCAATCTTGTAAAGAATTGTTTGTAGGAGGGTTCTGCCTATTTAACACCTGCCAGACTTCACATAACAAACAGGTGGTAATTGACTTTAAGAGCCTAAAAAATGCCGTTTTATTAATCCATATCTACACGTATAATGGGCTATCTACCACCTACCGGGTATCGATTGTCCGGGTACAATCTGGCAGGTGGTATATAAAAGAAATTACTATATATAGTATGGCTCAGGTGGTATATACATATTTTCTTAATCTTTTACGGTCGTTCCAACGCCAAAGGCCGGTTTTTTAAAAAAAAGTGCGGTTGATAAATTTTCACAAAGGGCGGTTTCGATTTATCCAATAGGCGGTTTGATTTTACTCAAACGGCAGTTTCATTTTCCCCAAAAGACGGTTTTTATTTTTTAAAAAGGTGGTTTTTTTTTATTCCAAAAAGGTCAATATTAGAAAATATAGTGTTTTACTTGGTTTTCAGACTTTGTACATTTTATTTTGGACAAGGTCATTGTTTGGGATGGAGATAAAAATGTAAATTAAGGGAACAAAAGAAAATACTGTTAGAACTGTGTATATCTGTTATTTCGAGAAAATTTAGATTTGGGAATTCTACTAGCAAAAACTACATGTATTTATACTAAATGATTAAATGGCTTTCGGATAATATATGTGACGCGTTAGAGGAATATGATATAATGTTATACGTAATGTCTGTTTAAATAAATATGTTATGAAGTAATTCCTGCCTTACAAAGTAAAAACAAAAGTACGTGAGGATCTAAATTCATCTCCGCAGGTGACATTACGTAAATGCCAAAGAGAAAGTTTAGTGCGTGTAATATTCAGTAACCGAATATTCCGCCTATGGGATTGTACTATACTTTTATGGTATTATAATGTTTTACTCGTCACAAGGCGAATCACCTTGTGCATAGACACCAACGGTTCTGATTATAACAAATGGGGCGAAGTGTGAGCCATGAATATCTATACATGATCATCCATAATTATGTTAATGTGATGATTCTTTTATTGTAATCTATGACGTCCTCAACAGTCATTTCTATTTTACTTTTTTTTTGGCTCCCTATTCATACCTGGGGTAGAACAGAATTTTCAAAAAAATTGACCAAATAATTTAAAGGTACTTCATCCAATCATATTCTCAATTTTTTAAAAGATGGGCGCAAAAAATGTTAAGATGTATTGTTAATCTTAACATATCATTTTTTTTATCTTAACAATTTGTTCTGTTTCATAATTATCAATGTCGTCGGTGATGGGTACAAAAAAAACAATAAAATATAAAAAGGAAAATCTCACTAATCTTCTTCTTAAGAAGACTACAATCTTCTTAACGCTATGATACCTCAAAAACATAAACCCGGAAGTGATCAAATGTTGAAGGCAATGCTCGCAAATAAAGACGTAATGAACTTGCTTTTAACATCAATCATTGTTAATCATTGTGCTATTTTAAAGCGTCCTATCATTATATATTAAAACATTTTTTATCACAAGGCAAGCACGCCAAGGGTCTGTATATGCCACGCCCTTGTGAGTGGATCGATGGTAAACGTGCTGATATGATTTATGGTCCAGTGACTCCCCCATCACATTTGCTACCACCAGTTATTATAGAGGTCCAAAACGTTGTCGATGAGTTGTATATGCACCGCATTCAGAAATACTGTAACCATGTTTATGAAACTTTTGATAATATTAAACCAATTGCACTGACCATTTGCCTGAAATCGATAAGAGAAGTCTTTACAAAGGATTATTATGATACTGAAAAAGGTGAATTTTTCAAACAATTACCGTCTCAGTATTGGGCACAGCAACATCTTTTTTTAACTCCATCAACCATTGCAAACCATCTTCACGAGCCTCTTCCTCCCATGGTTGCGCTGGAGTATGTGTTCTCAGCGCAGTAATGTTCTCTTCTTGGTCTTGAGTACAGGGATGATTCCACTGTAAAGTTATAATATAGCATCGCGAAACAACCAGTCGATCAGGAAATACGTTTACATGATGCCACTATTGACGTTCTCAAGGATGTTTGCACTCAAATCAAAACACCATTCGAAAGAATAATTGAAGCTATGAATGAAGATGGCTCGTCGTCGAAACACGCGATAGACTATGCTCGTGCAGGTTTGGTGTACATGGATACATGTTTGTACAAGTACCAACAGCAATCTTCAAGCACTTCAGTAACAGCCCTTCCTCCTCCTCCAGATCTTCCTGATGGAGTGACTCCAAAAGCCGGAAACCAAACGGTTGAAGTACTGCAACAAATCAAGCCACAAGAAAAAAACGTGATATGGATGTAGTTGATGAATTTGTTATGGCCTGGATGAAAGACCACAAACGCATGGACTGGAAAAAGTGTTTCAATGAAGGACGTGCCAACGGGCACTACAACAAATACAAGGATGCTAGAACACTTTCCATTACGTATCATCAAGTAAAGTCAAAGCTCGAAAAAAGAACACTGGAATGAAGACAGTAGGAAGAGTCAAATCAACCAATTAAAGTTTTTATGATATGTCAATTTTAAGTAAATTGAAATTAATTGTACAGTTATACACTAAAGAATAAGTGCTCCTTTGAGCTTTTATTTAACTCATTATGCGATGGATAAGCGAATTAAATACAAACTCTAAAGATCTACACCAAATATGGTTCCGTATTTTATTATTATTTTTTTTTTTACCCATCACCGACGACATTGATAATATGAAACAGAACAAATTGTTAAGATAAAAAAAATGATATGTTAAGATTAACAATAAATCTTAACATTTTTGCGCCTATCTTAACATTTTTTGCGCCCATCTTATCAAAAATTGAGGATATGATTGGATGAAGTACCTTTAAATTAATTGGTCAATTTTTTTGAAAATTCTGTCCTACCCCAGGTATGAATAGGGAGCCAGAACCGGAAATTTGTACTTGCCTGTATTGATTAATTCCGCATTTCAAAGGTCATTTACAGAAACAATAACACATATGACTGTGACTAACAATCAGTTAATATAGGTCTGTCATTCGTGCAAAGAAATGAAATTCATTAGAACTATTGTTGACCTGAATATTATTCTTACTTGCCAAAGTTGTGGGATGTTCCAAAACATTTAACAAATTTCAAAAGATCACCTGTAAATCGAAACGAACTACTAATTGTGTACGAACGAAGTTCAATGTAAACATGCCACTGTTTTCTTATATCGCCATATCGAACATGGTTTCTCTTTTAGAAATATAGACTTTTACAGGCTAAGGTGATTGAGCAATTCCCGCATTGTCTGATATCGATTTTTGTATTCATAATTTTTATTCGAAAAACAAATGGGGCTCCCCTTCGGGTCGCTGATCCCATTTTTAAAAGGCTTATTAGACGGCCCCTCCGACCACATATTTTTTGATCTGCGCTTCGCTGCGGTAAAAATACGTGGTTCCCGGAGGGTAAGATGACATAATAAATGGTTCTCAAAATTGGCTGCTCTCAACTGCTGTTATGGAGAGATAATTCTGTACAAATAAAACAGCATTGATAAAGTCTCAAGACATTATTATGTCAATATTGGGAAAGCCGTTCTTCGTAAGAAAAAAGAGCTTACTAGATTTTCTTGACTCAACATCATTGTAAGTCATTTATATAGGGTCTAATGTCACCATCTAGAGTTTTTGTTTATCTTTTCCTTTCTTTTTCTCACATTGTTGAGTTCTCGTTTCAGCATTTTATTCAAATTACCAACACTTGGAACATAATGAGAAGGTTTTTATTTTTTATATGGCAGAGGGTATCTTGCCTTATATGGGTCATTTTTGGGATTGTTTATTTTTTTCCATTCAATCTCTAAGGCTTACAACTACGTAATTTATACTCCGTCTAATAAACCAAAAAGGAAGACAATATATTGTACACGCCTTGCAACAATGGGAAACAATACGGTATCATTTTATTATGTTAATATTTAACCTGGTCTATACCTGGCCTTTTTTGATACCATTAATGCTTTTACAGTGGACTCAAGTTTTGTACAAAAAAAAAAAATTGTACAAACCTCAACACGTTTTCAGCGAGTTAAATATATTCTACCCTGTCCACGAGAAACAAATAACAGGAATCGCGAGCTAAAAAGCTCTAGTTATAGTAAAATTTGTTAAGTAAATATCTTCTATTCAATTAAGCTTTTAAATTTTTATAAACGCATATTCTTGTATCAGTTTGTTTTTAAACATATAAAATTATATAAACCAACATACTAAATTGATACATCAAGATAGAAGAAATAATATTCAGACTGAGTTTTAGCATTTCAAAATAATATCTCTGCCAGAAAACCAACCCATACTACGGATTCTACAATACTAACTGTGTACACGTTGCAATGTTTTGCATACAGGAAATAACAGCATTACGTACGGCTTCTATAACAGCTAATGCGTGTAAAAGTGTTGCTTTTGCTTATCGGTTAAAACCTAACGTGAGATAGTTAGTAGAACATCAAATTACACGAAGCAAAAAACTAACAATTTATCCTACAGATATCCACTGTTGATATGGCATTTTATTACATAGTCACTTATTAAATTGCCTGTTAATGTGTAAAAAAATTCAAATTAACGTTTCTTTGGCACTTTTCTCAGGATAACATTACATAAGTAAGGGAAACAAACTAATACAAAAACTTAGAGAAGTTAAATACATTACTGGGAAAAAAAGTAGCCTTCTAGAGGCAAATATGATAAAGTTTCTTTCAAAGAAATAAAAAAATATGTCTAAAAGCTAACAAGTACGCCATAAATAACAGGCAACTCAGCTCTTAATCCAAAATTTGCAAAAAGGCTCATGACGACAAACCACCCAAGCATTAATGTGCAAAACACACCTAAACTAGGGCAAGTACAGCACCTAATTCAAATCGAGTGCAATCAATTAATTAAAATTGAAGAATAGTAAGATAATCATTAAAAATAAAATCCCCAATAGCTCGTAATAGTTGTCATTATCGAACATCATAACTATTAATTTTTGGGGAGAACCAGATTGCTAAATAATTAAAATAAAGAAACTGATGGTTTTGTGACAAATTTTATTCTTTCGATTTTATTACAGTGCATATATTATATAATGAACAATTTTTGGCTTCGATTTCCAAAACAAAAAAAAAAAAAAAAAAAAAAAAAAAAAAAAAAAAAAAACGTTATCTCCTCTATGAATTTAACATGTGTCAGAAACATGGCTCTATTGTGTTCTTTATTACAGAGTTATTCTTAAACTAATAGAGCCCGATTGTTTTCTTTTCACACAAAACTTTTTTACGGATGGCAAAACAAAATTTGCCATTTATAGTGGGGAGACCCAAAGATGTCCTGGAGGTGTTTAACAGTGCAAAATTTCATAAAAATATATCAGGTATCTCCCGGTTAAACGTTTTATTGCGATAAATTAGACTTTTCTATCAAAAAAATTAAAAATTGCTAGTGTAGAAATCGGGCTTTAAACTTCCCAACTGTCGTTTTCACCTTAAAATGTTTATTATAAAATAGATGCTATGTATGGACCGAGAAAATTACTTAACCACGCCTCAAAAAATGAATTAACACTGTAATATTCAGACATATCTTCTAAATATCAAATAATGTAGATTACCCAAGGTCGCTATGGTTTTGTTAGACTAGTTCTTGTAGCCTCTCTAAAACTCTGATAAAACTTTTTATGGCTTAAATCCGACCCTATTACAACGCTTGTGACACATTGCTTCCCAATCTGTCTCAAATAGTTGTTGTGGTAAACTAGAACAACTGTTAGCACAACATATGAAGCTGAAACCTCAGATGGCATATACGTCGTATACGCTTAGATATACCAACCGCTCCGGCCAATTTTCAACGTTTATACATCGACCGTTCAACCCGCCGTTCGAAAATTAAAAGACGACCGGTCAACCCGCCGTTCGAAAATTAAAAACGACTGGTCAACCGGACAGTTGACAATGAAAAACCGACCATCTATTTTAAAATTAACAACTTTCTACTCTGATGTTTTAAAAAAGAAAAAACTTATCCCCCAGATGAATTCAGAGTCTACACAAAATTCAGCAATATTAATGGGTTTCAGTTTTAACCCGCAGGCTGTTCAACTTTTCTTTTAATGTTTTGTGACTTCAAAATTATCCAATCAAAATAACGAAAAATTTCGATGAAAAAAAACACCCGACCAACTGTCGTATTTGGGTACGATTCACTTAAGAATAGTTAAGCAAATCGTTTAAATAAATAAACTATGGAATTAAAACAACCTTTGATGTTGCATATCAGCATACGCTTGTATACTGCTATACAACTTATCCTACTTCGAGTACATACTTCTATATAAAAGATTGTATGATTGGCCTAAATACGATATACGAATGACAGTTGGATGCAGAATGCTATACCACTGAGTTACAATATCACCGATCGAGAAGATAAACTTCTCATATCAATCATGAATTATAAGAAAGAGAAACTTAATATTAATAGTTCTCTCAATGGATTAGCTACCCAGAGAGAGAATAGAACAGCTATTAATATAAATGGTTCATTTACTTATATATTGATATAGTTACACTGCTGATAGAGAGTATAAAGAAATAGTGTATGAATTAATGGATACTTAGCTTCTACAACCAAATATACAAATATCGATAAGACATTTTATATTTGGGATCGTAGTTTATTCATTACAAAGATAAAGAATAAATGATCAACTATTATGTTATATTGCCAATTACACTTGACAAACAAGTATGCATCTTTTACAGTAACCGTTGCATGATCTGATAAATAAGTGTCTCGTAATACTAAAGATTTATTAGAATACTCATGCTCCCGATCCACTGATATGGGACAACGTTATCTGGAAACAATTCTAACGAGTAGTATACATTTAACCCAAGGCAGGAAACAAAGTATATATCTATTCCAAAACCAGGAAGGTTGACTCATCATTAAAACTCAGGAGAGTTGTGCAATATAAAAAGGATCAATTATTTCATAGCAGAAGAGTTCTTTCAGTCTATTTTGACCCCTGTTGCAGCCAATCTAAATTGACTTGGTGTTACACAGGATAGGATCTTTTCTATAATTACGTCCCTTTTTTTTCTTAATAAATATTCCCTCAGTTTTATCTTGACTAAAAATCTAGTTTCTTAATAACTTGTAATTGACTCCTTTGTGTTTCCCTCAACTTTCATACTTCTTGTTTATCTTAAGTCTATACTTTTCATATAACAATTAACTCCAAGTTCATACTTCACACTCGGCTCGAATCTCTTTATTA